GCACTAATAATGTAAAGTCTTAAGGATGATTGTTGTGAATGAAACGCCTGAGAATGAACAAATCCGTAGTATGACGCTGAAACTTATCATGAAAGCGACAGCAGAAGGAACCGGACCAAGATCTTTTTTAAGGCAGCACAAGCAACATGATCAAGTTACGAAAAAGAAGTCAGCTCATTGCTATATCAAGTTCACCATCCGCTACTTTAGTATGTGGTAAAGCTGGAAATAAGAAACAAATTTACTTAAAGTAATTGGCTTAGATGAACCCCCAGATGTAGCATTAATGAGAAAATGTGTAAATTAAGACCTCGGCATATTCCCTCTGATATTAGGTCATCTATGCAAATGCATTTCTTGAGACACCTTTCCTCGATTCCAGTAAAAAAGTGTCCAGCATTCCTCTCTCGTAGACACTTCTCTCCCTCCTTAAAAGGTCAAAATCATTGTGGATTTCCCTTATTTTGCTCTTCAAGCGCTAGTTTCAAACTCACACTTTAGTGCCTTGCCTTCAACAAGGAAGGTAATCTACCGTTGCCATCTGGTGAGACCGATCCCAAAACCTCTTCCACAGGAAATGAAAGTCTAATCAATAATGCTTTATAATGAGATTCATAGAATGCCAGTTAACATTTTTATATATGTGTATATGTAAAGCTTTAATAAATGATAAACCTCCAAAGCATCATGCAGCTTGCTGCATCCATGCGCCGAAATTTTCGATAGCAAGAAATATGTTCATATCGTCAAGATGAAGGGGACATTTTTGCAACACGCAAATGTAGTTAAAAAGTCATCCTTAATTCAAACACAGGAAAAGCATGATCTTAGTCGTCTCCTCATAGTCATCATCTACTTTTCCTTGTTTTGTTTGATGTAATTTAAATACTCTTATATATAATTTTCAAAAGTATTTTTATCGATACAAATTAGCTCATCACCAGTAACAGAGCTAAAGTTTTATTATATTAATTTTCACAAGGGATTACTTATGGTGACACCACCACAAGCATTGTTTCAAACAGTATCAGTGTGACGTTCCCATGGCAAATGTGATATGGGAATGGCCAGGCCCTTCTAGAAATTTAAGTCTGCCCTCTGGGCCATAGGCATTTGTGACGTTGCTATGGTGGGATTGTTGAGGAAGCAAAGTTATATTTGCTATACCCATCAACCACATTATTTATTTTTGTTTTATAAATAATTTTTCAATAATAGCAGTAGACCTGATATAAGAGCTGCAGGTAGAATATGAAATTAGAGAATACAGCACTTATATTAGATCGACTGGTAGTCTCGAAAATCTACTTATGAAGCAAAAAATAAGTAATGTACTCGATTGCAATAGCAAATAAAACTTTCCTTCGTCGGCAATCCCACCATAGTAATGTGAAATGGAAAAGGCCCAAACTTCATTGAAATTCACTTCCGCCCAATGACCCAAGGGCACTCGTGACAGTTTGGCGTAGTGGTTAACTTTTCGAGATTATACTTTGCACTACCAGGGTTCGAGGCACGATGGGATTGCTAATGAGACCTAGGCAAAGCAAAAACTGTTGTATACCCACGACCGAATAAAAATACCTTTTGGGAAGCAAGGCAAGGTGAAATTCAATGGAAACATAAGGTTTATTCATTTCATTGCGCGAAAATTCAACTACCAGTCTTTAGTCACCTTATGCGAAATAGGGTGAATGCACTTCTTAATCGTGACTGTGGTTATACGTTATCTGTAATTCGTGAATAATATTTTAGTCACCTCTAGTCATATAAGATAATGGGATTTTTTCCACAACGATACAGGTAGGCCTCATGATATCTTGGATTGATTTTCAAGGTCAGAAAGGCCTTTTTAAGGCAACATTCATGTTGGAATTGAAGGTAAGACAAACATGTAGTTGACACTACAAGTGATCATATAACTTATTTTCTGTGTAAATGTGCTTAGTAAGTAATTTTTTGAATAAAACCTTGTTGAAAGTAAGCTCAGCTGTTCTTATTCTGCAGAACCTAGAGTTAGAAGGATGCTTATCGTTTTGTCGGGCATAAATAAATAAGAAACATTAAAATATAATTCTTACTAGCAGTTTTGCTACCCAGTAAAATAAACATGTTATGTTTACTAATCAAACTGTCACCATCATTAATGGCACTTACGTAATACAAGTATCAATATGATTTATATGTTTGAAAGCAAACGGTTATTTTTTATTTTGGCGATGATAAAAAGATGTTCTTCCTTCCAGAGAATCGCGTTCTTTTTCCTTACCTCAATGTCCTGCTCCAGTACTGCTATCTGCCCTAGTTCTTTAGCATCTGACGGTCGCTTTGGAACTGCTTTTTTGGTTCGCCGTTTGGTCTTCTGCAAAGCATTGTTGGCCCGCTCCAACATGGACATCCGATCCAAAGCCTCCTGACTCCGCTGACATAGTGCTCCGTCCAAAGAGCTATTCTGTTCACAAAAGCTAAGCAATTCGCTTGTAAGTTTAGTTAATCGAGAATGAAGTCGCTGAAAAAAAGTAGAAGTATCATGTCAGAATTGTGTTTAAATAAGTGCGACAGTACAACAACAGGAATAAACAGAAATAAAAGCTTATTTTCGTTTATAGGTAGGTTACGAGAATGTCAATAGATCAATTATATGGCAGATATTCATTCAATTTGGTTTAGGGTGACAAAGGATTATTAATTAAATTTTCCCACTATGATATGACTAAACCTCATGTTACCATAAAAGTTTACATCGTTTTGCTTCCTAAAAGTTATTCCTATCCAGGCTGAAGAGGACTGCAGTTTCGACCTTGCACAGACCTCATCAGCAGCCTCAGCGGGACTCGGACCCAGGTAATACATCGTATGAAATATCAGAACTCCACTCCTCCTTGAATGAAACTACCTTTTTAGAAGCAAGGCTATGTGAAATCCAATGGAAACGTAGGGCATACTTATATGATTGTGGTAAAATTCAACCTCCAGTCCTTCATCACCTTAAACGAAATAGGCTAAGCACAGCTATAATTAAAGATCTACTGGTAGTCTCGAAACCTTACTTATAGACGAAATTAAGTCTTAATCATTATTTCTGTCAGGGCAAACCTATCATCGCTTCTCCGGATTAGACCCTAAACTACCAGCCATTTGTTATGATAAACAACGACCTCTGTCGTTACATCATATCTGTCAAAGAAATCATAATTTCGGAGTCTGCATATCAGCATAAATTCGATCGATCACTCTTCAGAGATCTGATGGTCGTATTGCAAGATAATGGAAATGTGTCATCAAATTTCGTTGTGTTCTTAAAGAGCTTTAGAAATATTTTTATTTCACATTCATTTGGAGCCAGGTTGTTGGACTTTATATTATGCTGATAAAACCTCTACCAACGAGGAGGAGAAAGCTAGCTTTTGCATTGAATTTATCTTCGTCAAAATATCAAAAAAGCCATTTTCGTCCAGATAGGGCTGAGAATTCTATATTATCCAAGTCTCATCATCACTTCGAGCGTAAATAAAAATGGTGAATTAAAGGGTCAAAATAAAAAGACGTTACCTCCTCAGCCATATGACTAGTAGCATATTGCTTTTCAAAAAGAATTGAGCCTTTTTTAGTGTTGGTTCTACCTTGTTTCCGCAACTTGTTTGGAGCGTCAGGGAGACCTTGTGGAGCGTACCTAGTTGTGTATCATCTGTCATAGTATTCGTAATTTCCAGAATCTGACCATTGACTTGTAGATTCCCAAACATTTCGTCGGCAACGTAGTGGGCACTGTCAGTGAGAGGCGCAATCATTAGCACATAATTATCACTTATCAAAGTGACAAGTAAATGTAATCCTCTTTACCAGCATCACCCCTTGCCCCTATTCTTCGTTCTCTCTTCTCGTGCTGCATCTCCTTCTCTCGATCCCACTTCATAGTGTTCATCGCCCTATTCACACAATTTTGTGTTGTCGTTTCCTCCAATGTCGCTTAAGAGTGCGTCGTTACAAGTGGGCTTAGTGAAGTGTAGTTATCTCCACCATTGAGAGTGATAGTCAATAACAAAGATGGACTAACACATAAATTGGAGAAATTTATCTGCCAACGGAACATATGGCTGGTGATAAACAGAAGGAAGAAGGAAGATTATTAAAGGAAAGCAGGAGGAACAGAGGAAAAACTATGGATATGTCTACCCTCATGTGAATTGGCTGAAAACATC